AGAATTGAGCTTGACATTAAGCTAAATAGGTGTATCAGAAATCTTAGTATCAGTAAGACCGGCACGGTGAATAACCTCATTAGCATATTTTGCCTGAGATAAGAAATAGCCCTTTGGAGAAGAGGCAACCTCACTACCAAGAAAATATCGCAATGGATCCAGATCTTTCATTTCGAAGGTGCGGAAGAGATGTTGTTTGACCTCAAAGATAACAAAAGAGTCAAAGCCAATAATGATCATATCATCCACATAGAATAAGAGAGCAACAAAACCAGCTGAGGTATGTCTCAAAAACAAAGCAGAGTCGGATGCAAAAGGATGAAACCCAAACTTGATAACAGCAGTCTGAAAGCGATCATACCAAGCACGAGGAGATTGCTTCAAATCATACAGAGCACGCCGAAGATGACAAACCGGCCCGGACTAGTGGAGAAGGCCAGGGAGAGGACGCATGCAAACTTCCTCAGTGAGAAAACCGTTAAAAAAAGCATTTTTAACGTCCATCTGATAAAGAGGCCAATGTTGAACAGCAGCAACAGAAATCAAGGTACGGGCAGTAATTATCTTGGCAATAGACACAATGTCTCCTCATAATGAATACCATACTCCTGCGAGAAACCCTTTCCAACCAAGCGAGCTTTGTATCGCTCGAAAGAACCATCAGAATGAGTCTTGACCTTATAGACTCATTTGCAACCAACCAGATTCTTGTCAGCAGGCAAAGGACCCAACTCCCAAGTGTTAGTCTTCTGCAAGACAAACAACTCATCCTCCATAGTTTGAACCCAATTAGGATCCTGACAGGCCTCCGTGTAAGACTGAGGTTCTGAAAAAGAATTAATAACAGACAAAAAAGTACGCTAGGAAGCAGAAAAACATATATTAGACCAACCCAAACTGTTTGAAGGACGACGCTGACGAGTAGGATATCGGTGTGCAGCACGATCAGAGTGGTCAGAAGCAGGAGGATCAGCAGTAGGGGCAAAGACAACTGGTGGAACAGGAGCATTGCGACGAGAATAAACTAACAACGGAGGAGGTAAAGAAGTTGAAGAAGGAGAAACAGCCAGAGGTGAAGCAAGATGAGAAGATGAAACAAACTCAGGAGGAACTGTGGAGATGTACTCATCAGAAGGGATCTCAGAAGGAAACGGATCAATGTGAACCAAATCCCCAGTTCAAGAAAAGAAACATGACGGGAGAAATAAAGACGACGGGAAATAGGGTCGCAACATCGATAGCCTTTCTGAGTAGGACTATAACCCAAAAAGACACAAGAGGACAGACCGGGCACTAAGTTTGGTCCTATCTTTGCGAAAAAAAAGGACAAAACAGGTAGAGACCCAAACACACGAAGTTGGGAGCAGTTAGGAATTTGGGAGAGCAAAGCCTCGTAAAGAGACCGACTAGAAAAAAAGGGAGTAGGCATGCGGTTGAGAAGAAAAGCAGCAGAAAGAACTGCCTCCCCCAGAATGGAGCCAAAACTGAGGCAGGGAGAAGAAGAGACCTAACTGTCTCAAGGAGATGACGGTGTTTACGCTCGGCTCGACTATTTTGGGCAGGTGTATCTGTATAGGAAGTTTGGTGAATGGCACCCAAATTGGCCAAATACTCACAGAACTCATTTTTAAAATATTCCCCACCCAAGTCAAACCGTAATACTTTAATTATAGACCCAAACTGAGTAGTAATCATAAACTGAAAGGTACGATATATCTGATAGAAATCGAACTTATGAGTTATAAGATAAACCTAAGTGTAACGGGTGCAGTCATCAACAAATGGCACATAGTATGCAGAACCCCCTTTGGTGAGAACATGAGAAGGGCCCCAGACATCAGTATGAACTAAAGAAAACGACGTAGCAGATATAGAAGTACTTTTACGGAAAAGTAAGGCTGTCATTTTGACAAGTTTACACCCCCGACACTCAGTAAATTGACTAGGAGAAACTTTACCCAATATACCTGACTGAGCTAAAGATCGTAAGCGGTCAGCAGACAAATGCCCTAATTTGGAATGCCACAAATAGAAAGGACTTGACAAAGAACCTAACTGAAAAGAAAAAAAGGCAGTCAGAGAGGTAATCATAGGGAGATGTAAGCTCTCCACCACATAGAGGTCTCCAACTCTACAGCCAGTCCTAATCTGCTGCTTGGACATCTAATCCTGCACAGAACAGATAGAAGAAGAAAAGATAACATCAAAACCGGAGGCATCAAGTTGACTAATAGATAATAAACTTACAGATAACTGAAGAACATATAAGACAGATGGAATAGAGACTGCAGACATAGCAAACGGTAGAACAGACCCAACAGAGATAACAGACATACCAGACCTATTAGCAGCATTGACAGTAATAGAAAAGGAAGGAGGAATATAATTTTAAAATAAGGAGAGATGGGGAGTTATATGATGAGAGGCAGCGAAGTCAAAAATCCAAACAGACGAAGAAATATCTTAAGAAGACCTAAACAAACCTGAATAAAGAGAGGAAACAATAGAGGCAGACGGGGATGGCTGGGAGGTAGATAATACATGCTGATGCTGACTTATCAGTGTATGCTAAAGCTAACTAATCTGAATAGTCAAGGAAGCCAAGTCAGGATCAGGAGCTGGAGCAGATGCAGTAGAACCGGTAGGAGGCCGAACGGTACTCAGAGGAGGAGCGTAGAACTTGATCGAAAACTACTGAGAAGACGAGGCAGATACAGGCAAAGCAGACAAACATCTCTTCTTGGGACAATGATACTTCTAATGCAGAAAACACACTCATCAAAAGCCAAAGACATCATAGTAACTAGAAAACTGAAGGGTTCAAGTGCAATAAACCCCCGCGAAACCCGATGGAGACAAACAGGATTTTTGCGAATCAGATGGTTACAGTCGATAGGCCACGACTCGAACTCAGATGGGTCACAATGAACACAAATGGGTCGACCACCAAAGAACTCAATTGAGTCCAAAACCAAAACCAAAATCAGAATCAGAACCAGAACTCAACCTCGTGAGCCAAAAGTTGAGTCCGACGAGCCAGAGGAGGTTGTTTAATTGCGAATTAGAGGAGTTTCAAACTAGGTGGGATGGATCGCGATTCTGGTGCTCGAGGGGTTACGATTTCAATGAAGGTAGATTCTGAACCAGATGAAACTTTGAACGAAGAAGGAACTTCGATCAATCAGAAGCCAAAATGAACGATAGCTCTGATACCATGTAAGATTTCTGAAGGTTTTTATGTATATTCAATTGTGTATGTTTACAAAGTATTCATTAGTTTATATAGTCCTAATCTACGACAGAACAAAGAATGACTGAAAAAGGAAATACATACGCCTAATTCCTAATATACATATCCATGCCATATATACAATCATGCCATATATACGATATATTCTCACAAATCTATATGCTTGCTGTGCTATATTGGGTATATAGCTTACAAATTGATCCAACCAAAATTAGCTAATATGGAGATTACTAAATATACTGAAAATGCTTTGAAAGTCAACCCCAACCTTCCTCTTGGTAGTTAATATCCACTAAATGGGCACCCTCACAAAAGAAAATATGCATTCTACAATGGCGCCTTTAATTTTACATTGTTTACAAAATAACAGAGAATACCTTACCCAAACATTTATTGGCAATAGATAGATTTTCTCTGCTTAAAGATAATAGATCAATCATCGGGGGATCACCCTCCAGCAGACAAGAATCATCTTAAGAGTATAGTTGGTTTATTAAATAGAACTACAAATAGTAGGTTAGTCCCTCTACTTCACTGTAGAAGTGGATTTCACCTTAATGTTTGAGGGAGATGCTGATTTTAGCAACTCACATTGGCAGCAAATGGTTTATAAAATTGAACTACATGCTACCAACCAGTATAATTACAATTGCATCATTAGATGATGATGACAATCAAACTAAAGTATAGACTCTGCGTTTCATTGATGATGGTGTTTCCATCATTGTCTCTCTTTAAATGGGGGTTGAGAAGCTTGAGCAAAGACCACTTTACATAGACGGTTACACTTAATGGTATTATCCATCAAGGACTCGAACAAATAGCCCTTATTACCATCCTCCATTCTTATCTTACATTACAGCTATGTGTAAGTAAGAGGTGCACAATAATCCCATATAAATCTGATTATTGTTTAATGCCTAAACAAATCGAGCAACAACCAATCGGGTTTTCACAAACCAAAATCCATTGATATTAGGAAAAATTCTAGCACTCTAAAACCGGCACTGGATTCCATCTATATTTTGGGATGAAAGAATTAAAATATAAAAATTTATTTGGCAAATAGACCTTGAAATGAAAAGGCGTTTTTTTTTTGAAGAAAAATATTTAGTAATCATGAAGTTGAATCTATCCCTATGCAGTCAAATCATGGAATATCAAAATCCTAGCGAACCAAACATGTCACGATACATTGATTTCACGTTTCAATATTGATTATCCAATCAAACAGAAAACATAGAAGACAAAACGATTATCTAATTAAACAATCACAAATTCACTCAATATATAAATTGAGAGAGAAATCATAAAAGGAAAGTGAGGAATCGAACAACAAACCACCGTATCCATCGGAAGATTCCCAAGGATAGAACCCAAACGGATCGTCGCCGAGGAAATTGCCGGAGTTGGAAGCTTTGGCGCTGATAGAGAAGAAACGAGGCGAGGAATGGGGGCGAACAAACGAGAAACTACGGAGCGAAGTTAGGGGAGATGAGGAGAGAGAGGAATATGAGGTTTCTTTGGAGCGAGAAATTGAGGAGAGAGAAGAGGAGAAGGTGCAGAAGCACAGAGCTGAAGTTTCCGCCATTGAAGAGAGAGAGAGAGAGAGGCTTAGGGAATTGCTCCGGAGTTAATTGATGGAATTGGGGAATCTGAGGAATGGGAATGGAAAAGGGAGCGAAGGGAAAATTAAAAAAGAGAAAAAGGATAGAACATTTGGACGCCACATGTTGTGTTGTTTTATGACATGGATGGGAAGCTTGGGAACCAGGTTCGGAACGGTTGGTCGGTTGGTTCTTCACCTCCCTCCTCTCTTTTGTTTTTTTCTCGCAACTTTCGCAAGAATTTTCTCAGGAAAATGATAATTTGGATGGATTATATTCATAGAAAAATTAAAGGATCTATCATATTTAAAAGAAATTAATATACTTTATTATTTTATAAATGTTATGATTTATGTATAATAATAGATAAACAAGAAATTTACATACACTATAACATTTTATTGTCTTTTCATTCAATATTCAAATACTAATTATTAAAAAATTGATTATCACATTTTTAATAAAATTTTTATTTATATATCATTTCTTTACATATATAAATAATATTAATTTACTCATAAAAATATATACTTGTAGTATTTATTGAAGGGAAATTTTTTTTAAAGTTCCTAATAATAATAATTTAGAGGATAAAGGACACCAAAAAAAATAGTGATGCATCAGGTCCCTGAACAACATGGCGTGCATTTTTAATTATTTTGTGGACCAAAATACCCTTCTCAAAATCAATACAGAAACGAAACTCATTCCGACGTCTGAGTTTCATTCCAAGCATCCAGTATCTTCACGAACAAGAGAACAGCAGAATTAGGGTTTCAATATCATCTTCACCATCGACATTAGCGTTTCGTTATCTTCTGCAAAAATCATTCCCATTCCTTCCTCACAAATTTCTCTGACCCCGTTTTCACTGTTCATCGTCATCTCAGTTCATCTTCGTCATGTTGCATCTTCATCTCATGCCATATCAGCTCGTCATTCAAGTTTCATCCTAACTCTGGTAAGTTTTTCTACAATACAACTAGATTTTCTCTAGAAACACAGTTAATTGCATTTTATATTAACTTTCCATATATTAGGGTTTCAATTTCGTAATAAAAAACTCCCTGAATTTGAAAAAAGTTATTTCTTTGTGTTTTGAACTTATTCTTGAACATGTTTGTGTGATTTTATCTATATATTTCTCTGTCATTTGAATTTCTCTGGTTTTTACCTGATATATGTTTTTTCTTTCAATTTTCTCTGACATATTTATTTTGAAAAAAATAATTTTCTGTGTTTTCATCTTATTCTTGAATATGTTTCTGTGATTTTGTCTATAAATTTCTCTGCTCTGTAAAATTTTCTGTAATATGTATTTTTAATTGGAATGTCTATCTTTCTCTGGAATGTCTATTACTCTCTTGTCTCTGTCTAAGTTTCTCTAGTATTTATAATTTTCTTTGACCACATCACATCACTTTCCTCCCTTGTGTGTTTCTATCATGTTTAATTTTCTCTGGTATTTTAATATTATGGACTGGAATGAATGTTTATTCTTTGAATTTTCTCTGACATGTATATTTTGAAAAAAAGTTATTTCTCTGTGTTTTGATCTTATTCTTGAACATGTTTCTGTGATTTTGTCTATGAATTTCTCTGCTTTGTAAATTTCTTTGGAATATGTATTTTTCTCTGAAATGTCTATTACTCTCTTGCCTCTGTCTAAGTTTCTCTGGTATTTATAATTTTCTCTGATCACATCACATCACTTTCCTTCATTGTGTGTCTTTATCATGATTAATTTTCTCTGGTTGTGTATATAAATTTCTCTGGCATTTTAATATTATGAATTGAAATTTTCTCTGGAATGGAAATTTCCTCAATAATGTATAATTTTCTTCGGAATGTGTATTTTTCTCTGGTATGTTTATTTTGTTCAATTCTTGGTTTCAATGTGGTATAATTTTCAGTGGCATGTTTACATTACTTTGTTTATTTTATCTTGCTAATTGTGGAATGAAAATTTTCTTTGTCTTTCCATGTTTACTTTTCTCTGTCATTCATTTTCTCTGGTATGTTTACTTCTATATGTAATTTTAACAATTATTAAAAAAAATTCTCCCATGTTTATGATGCTTTGTTGATTTTCTCTGACATTTAATTTTTAATGTCCAATTTTCTGTAATTTTCCCTTATCTATAATTTTCTCTAACATCTCCAATTTTCTCTTATCTGTAATTTTCTCCCTTATCTGTAATTTTCTCTGACATATCCAATTTTCTTTGACATGTTCAATTTTCTCTAGGATTTAATGTTGACATCTTTATGTTTTAATCATTGTCTAGAATGGCAAAACGTAAAAGCAGCAAAACACCGGAAACACCAAGCAAGAAACAAAAACTCTCTCAGTCTTCTTATGAGCTAAGATCAAAAACCAACAGCGAAACACTGGAAACACCAAGCAAGAAAGAACAACTCTCTCAGTCTTCTTATGAACTAAGATAAAAAAACCAGCAGCAAAACACCACAAACTCCTCGCCAAAACACACAAGTCCAAGGTGATGAAGCAACTAGCATCCAGATGAGTATCCCAACTTCAAAAGACTCAAGCTCAAGGAGGAAAAAACCTGTTAAACTCCAAACAAAGAGAGCTCACTATAGCACTCAATACCGATCCAACCTCTCATTTGCTGTCTCTTTTTTTGAAACACTTAAATTCAATTCAAACCAACTTGTAGAGCTTCAAAAGACCTCATTCTGGTATTTGATCCAATCTCTAACCACTGGAATGATGGATCCAAGGAAATCTAGGAAATCTGATGATGATGTAGTTGCAATAATCCAATGTTACAATGAAAAAACAAAAGCATTCACAGTTGGTAAAAAGAACTTGACCTTTACAACAAATTACATGACCTTGATTTTTGGTTTGCAATGAGGTAAAGGAGTCATGTCATTAAGATACTCTAAAAAGCCAAAATCTACATTCTTATGGAGAAGATTTCAAAAGGACACAAGGCTCATTGGTCCTGTTCTTAAAAATGCCTTGGTCAAAGCAATGAAAGGCAAGCAACCAACTGACTTCAAAGATGTAGCAATCATTGTTACATTGTACTTGTGTCTCACCCTATTTTTTGCAACAAGTGGGAATTCAATAGGGTGGGCTTTTATAAAGTATGTGGAACCTCTTGAATCAATGAAACAGTATGATTGACCAGAAGCAATCACATCAACATTGATTGATTCTATCATAGCATTGCAAAAAACTCCAGAAAAAGTTACGGGGTGTGTCATTGCATTGCTGGTAAGTATAATATCCATTCAAATTTGCAGTTATCATACTTAGAAATTTGTACGTTTAGAAAAATTTGATTACTTTAATTTTCATCACAGTATTGGTTATATGAACATGCAAATATCATTGACTCAGAAGACAGTAACACAACTGACTTCCCAAGATGTGCCAAGTGGAACCTGCAAACCTTGACGAAACAGCTGCAGAAGACACCAATCCACTCTCTTGCACCTCAACAGGTTAGATTTCTATTACTACAGAAATCTCAGTGAAATTCTAAAATTTCTTTGACCACTACTTTGTTTCCCTCCTTGTGCATTGATTGATTAAGATCAATTTTCTCTGAACTATCAATTTATGTTTTCTTCTTTGGTTACCACTGGTTTATTTCTGCCATTTTAATCAATTTTCTCTACAATCCAAATTTCTCTGACCACAATTGTAACACATTAACTTATATGCCTTGATTGATTTTCTTTAATATCTGAATTATGCTGGTTGTTTCATAATTTTCTCTGGCTCATAAAATTGTTTCTCTTTGTATGTAATTTTCTCTAAAATTGTTTTTCCTTGTGTCTTGCATCTTTGATAAACACTATTTATTTCTACCCTTCTAATGAATTTTCTCTGAAATCCAAATTTCTCTGACAAAATTATAGTCAAACATTAACTTATATGCCTTGATTAATTTTCTCTGATATCTAAATTATGTTGTTTGTTTCATAATTTTCTCTGCCTCATAAAATTAACTCCTTGTCTGTAATTTTCTCTGGCCCATACAATTTTCTTTGGTGTTTGTTTCCTATTAGTATCATTTAGATGAATTTTATTTTCCTTATTTGAATTTTTTCTCTCAGTGAATTTTGTAACATTTCTCTAATAAAAGAGCCTCCTGTTACAGATAGATAACAAGGAGCTAGTCAAAAACCCATCAGAGGAGTTCTGTCCTGGTAAAAAGACGAAGAAAGAATCAAAAAAGGCAATTGTCAAATTTAATGAGACATTACAAGATTCATCTGAAGAAGGAGGGAATGAAGAATTAGAAGGTAACATAGAAGAATACGAAGCCAGCAATGGACAAGAAGATCAAGCAAGCAGTGGAGAAGCAGAAGCTAGAAAAGAAAGTAAAGAAATAGAAGCAGAAGACAAAGAACAAAATGAACAGAAAGAAGAAAACAGTAAAGAAGAAGATAAACAGCAAGAAGAAAATAAGGAAGAAAGTGATGAAGAAGAACGTAATAAGCCGATGGACCAACAACGTGATAGCATTTGTGACTCAACAATGCATCAGCCTCAAGAATCTGAGGAATCAAAGGATGCCCAAATTGCGGATCTACGTCAAAGACTAAAGGCACTTTCTCAATCTAAAAAAGAAGAAGAGAGAAATTGGATTGAATTACTTGCTTAAAAGGATATTGCAATAAGAACCTTGACATCACCTAACTCAGAACTTCATGAAAGAGATAGCACAATCCAAATGAAACTAAGGATGTTGGAGGTTCAAAAAGAAGACGATACAAAAATAATTCAATAGTTGAGGTATTCAATTTCGGAGCTTGAAACTGAAAATGCTAAATTGCATGAACAAGTTCAAGAACTATCCGTCCAACTAGCAACACAACCATATCGAACACCAACACAACTTCAACCACAAGGTTAGTGAAAATCTTTAGCCATAAAAAGTTATGTCCTTGTGTCAACATAACTCAGAGAAATTTCTATTTGTTATAATTTTCTATGTCATTGGTAATTTTCTCTTGAAGTTATATTTATCTGAACACATTAGTTCCTACCACTTATTTCTATTGATTTCTACTGCTCATTTGATTTTCTCTGTCTATTTTCTTTTTCGATTTTTGGGGCTTGTTTGATTTTCACTATGTATAGTTGGAATACAAGTGGAACAACAACCAACAACCCAACAAGAACAAATGGCACACAAAGAACAACTGAAACAAAAGACAAAAGTCTATGGTAACTGAAAAATATTGAATCAAATAAATTTACATTGAAATATTATCTGTTACTTCAGAGAAATTTCACTTTTACTGATATTTTCACTGTCTACAGTCAAAAAAGATCCAACATCAATGATAAAAAATTTAAAGGCAAAAGAAAGGAAGGAAAAGCAGCACGATCCAGAATTTCAATATCTCAAAGTTGCGAAAGTGACTAGAGGTTCAAAACAAGCTGCAAAGCAAACTGAGCAAACCACAAAGGACAAAGAAGTACTTGATGCTGATGCGTACGTCTTGCCTCAACCTATAAGCATTAGAAACTCTTGGGTCTTTCCACAAACTCTACTGATTTCAAGATTGATAAAAGATCATGTAAAAGACATCTTGCAGCACATTTCAAATGTATCTGGACTTGAATAAGTACAACAAATAAAATAGAAGATAACAAATAACAAATTACAAACTTATATTACATTAACAACAATTAAATCCCTTCTTTGTCATCTTGTAGGGCTTTAATTTGGACAAGTGAGTTGAATCTCATTACCTTCGAAGACATTAGAAACCTAATAAAGCAAAAAGAAATTTCCAACAATGTAAGTCTTTTATCAAAATTTCTCTGCAATGTTCCATCAGCCTTTATAAACCAATATTAAAATTATAAATCATATATTTTCAGGTCATTGATGGCTATAGAGAAATCCTTTTTGCTAACCAAATGAGAGAAAGACAACAACCAACTTCATTTTTTTTCACATCCATGAGCTTAGTATGCTACTACTATTTTATTTGATTTTCTCTGGAATTTACTTACTACTTTCTATTCTTAAGATACTTCTTGAAGCCAGTTGTGTCGTTAGTCTAATTTTCTCTGGCTAATTGTGTGCATCTAAAATTTCTGTGTGTATATTTCTTAAATTCCTGTCATTTCAACTTTCTCATAACATAACCATTTTTTGATTTCCCCTGACTACAGAATTTCATCAAGATGACGGAAAATCAAACTTTTTGAGTCTCATTATTTGACAAGCATATTGAAACAGCATGGAGGAACTACAGGTTCCTCCATTTTCCAATAAATACTGGGGGTAATCAGAAGTCAACATATGGAAATCACTAGACCTTGCTTGTCCTGGACAAACAAGACAATTTGTGGAAGTTCTACAACTCCCTAAGGCCAAGGAGGGATGATGTAGAAGACAAATATGTCAAAGATGCAAAACAATAGTAACGAGTGCAAATTTCTCTGATCCATCATAATGTTTATGTGATGATAATTTTCATAGAATCCCATTGATTTGTTTATAAATTTCACTGTTATTTAAAAATTATTTTTTTGCAGCAAGATTATGTGTAGAATTTTTTGAAAGCTTGCCTTGAAAGAGAGACTCAATCACAACCCTCTTTCAAATTAATAAACTCACAAAACACAAGTTACGACTTTGAGTATGTCAACAATACTCCATAACAAGACAGTGATTCGTAAGTTTCATACAACATTTATAAATAAGATAATCTGATTTGCATGTTTCTTAAAACCAACCATACTTATAATTTGTATGCAGTTTGGATTGTGGCCTCTTTGTCTGCTATATAATGTAACAATATAGCAAGCATGAACCTATCAGCTCCAAATTGTCCACACAAGACACAAGGTTGATGAGGGCAGAACTCATAAAGAGATTTGTGACCGAAGTTGGCCGATCATGGACTGAACCAATTGAAATACCTCCAGAAGAAGAACCAAAAATATAATAATGAAACTAGTGAAAGGAAGACAATGTACATATCCACACAGAGAAAATTGTCTCACATATATGTATATATCCACACAGTATTAACCATTCAATTTTTTGTTCATACATTGAAGGAATGATAATGCTTGACATATATGTATATATCCTTTTTTGACTAATGTAAATTTTATTTTATTTTTTATTTTGACTAATGTAAATTTCATATCTATCAATGGTTAAATATATATTTTTTTTATTGTGATTGTCAACACAATCCACACAAAGAAAATTGTCTGCAGAAATTTCTCTGGTATGAAATTACCAGAAATTCACAGAGAAATTTAACTCGTATCGTCCCAAGGGGATGCCTATATGATCATGTAATCTGTAATGCTTTGTGTTGGTACAAAACAATCATCAAACTCAACAAAACACAAAGTGCATAGTAATTTTCTCTGCTACTAGAAAATTTCACTGGATGAATTTGAAGTTTCAAAACACAATGCCCAAATAATTTTCTCTGCTAGTGGAAAATTTCTCTGGATGAAATTGGCGGATTCGAATGGTAACAAAAAATGGAATTTCTGAGTTGTGAATTTCTCTGGGTTGAGTGATTTGGAGATGAGGAATTTCTCTGGGTTTGTGAGGAAAATTTCTCTGGCTTTGAGAAAAATTTATGAGTTAAAGTGATTCTAGATAAATTCATCCCTGGTCCAGAGAAATTCTCAACTCAGATAAATTTCAAAAGAGCTTAATTTTGTTTCTTGGTTGTACTCAGTGCAATAATTTTGCGTATGCTCTGTCTGGTGTGCACATTTCTTGAAGTGAGTCCAGAAAAATTCTTCCCTGATAAGAATTTCTCTGTGAAGTCCAGAGAAATTCTCTAGATTTCTCTAGTTTAAACTTAGAGAAATTTCAACAAACACAATGCACACTGTAATTTTCAATGCTATTGGAAAATTTCTCTGGATGAATTGAACCTCACAAAACACAATGCACATTTCAACAAACACAATGCTCATAGTAAATTTCTCTTCTACTGGCAAACTTCTATGGATAAATTTGACTGATATGAAGTTACTAGAAATTCACAGAGAAATTTAACTCGTATCGTGCCAAAGAAGGTGCCTATATCATCATGCAATCTGTAACGCACTGTGTTAGTACAAAACAATTATCAAATTCAAAAAACACAATTTACACAGTACTTTTCTCTGCCATTGTCAAATTTATGTGGATGAATTTGAAGCTTCAAAACACAATACATAGAGAATTTTCTCTGCCATAGGAAAATTTCTCTGGATGAATTTAACAGGTATTACAAACCCATAGCCTATAGTATATATCAACAAACACAATGCACACTTTAACTGATATTGGAAAATTTCTCTGGATGAATTTGATTGATATTATTATATACACTGTCTAAAAAATACATTTCACAAAACAAAATACACAAAGTAATCATCAAATGTATTATTCAATCAATAAAATGTATTATCCCCAACCATTTAACAAAGGTTCCTTGCATGTCCTCTTATTATGGCGACCGGTATTCTCACAACGACTACACTTAATCACCCTTTTAAACTCTTCAGTAGAAGCAATTCTGTTCTTCTTCGGCCTCCCAGCTGGTCTCTTGCTCAATGGAGGTAAAATCATAGTATCTTCAATGTTACACACAGGTTTTTCAACAGTTGGAACTGGGCCAATCGAAAACGAGTATGCTTGACGATATATATCAGCATGAAAAAATGGTTCAACAAATGAATTCAAATTATTTCCACTCCTAAAAATTGCAGCAACAGCATGTTGACATGGATACCCATTTATTTTCCATTTTCAACATGAACAAGTTCTCAACCCAAGATCAACCATAACCGAAGGAAAACAATGCACTTCAAAGACATTATCAGATGATAAACTCACATTCCATGTCCTCCCATCCAAAAAAGACTTCTCCAATACACTATCCATACGAGGACACAGAACTTTATTCCATTTACTAGATAGCAGCCTCCTATCAGACCTCATGTTCATGATTTGCAACTGTATCCTGTCCACCAAATTTGTTATTGGCAAGTGCCGAGCTTCTCGTATCCATGAATTGAATGACTCCGCAAATTTGAATACATCTCACTATAACGTTTCCCCGCAAAATATGCATCACTCCAATTTTCATATGGTAAACTTCTCAAGAAAACACTCACAATGTCTCCTCCCTCACTTTTTAGTTCATTTAACTTGAAATGAAATGATGCCTTTGTTGGCTCATATGCACATTCTGAAAACTTGGACACAATTGTCTCCCTAACCAAATTTGTGTTTCCACATAACAACTTATCCCTTAAATTTCTCTTTAGATGTTCAAGACAAAATCCATAAAAGCAGTTAGAAAAAAACCTAGCAATTCCTTCCACAATACCACAATGTCGATATGATATGAAACTTATCACCCTTTCTGATCCCAATACTCTACATAAATGTTCAAGGAACCAACACCAATTGTCTTTATTCTCAGCATCAACAACAGCAAAAGCTATAGGAAAAAAACCTACAAAACAAATAGGAACAAGCATATTAGATATACACATGCAGAGAAAATTAGAACAATAAACAACCAGAGAAATTTGACACTGCCAACATCCAGAGAAAATTCACTTAGTGCCCCACTCCAAAGAAAATTCACATTGGCAACATCCAGAGAAAATTCA